AATCAATTACCCTGCATCGGGTCAAGGTTTAGGGAATATGCAGAACAAGGTATAAGTATTCTTTTCTCTTGAACTAGGGATAACACAGCAGTGGTATAACCAATATGAAAAAATAGTGGTGATCACAAGTCGTAGAATGCAGGTATGCGGAACGGCCGATTTCCCGAGTCTTTATGCATGAAAAGACGCGGTAAGCATGAGCAGAACAGGTTGGGTTATGCATAAGAGTGACAACGAGGTATTCAGCAGAATGAGAATTGTTCAATTAGGGTTTTTCGCAGATTGAAGTATTATGCTCAGACTGTGAAAGGTTTAGTTGCCTTAGTAGGATTTCAAACCACGCATGGACGCGGCCTACGCTTTTGTGCAATGTACGCTCTCTCGCTATGAATAATACAACACGTAGTATAGTACATGAATGACTGGACAAAATTTCCATGGAAGTAACCGACCAATTCCCAGTTCTTGCCGCTCTTCAGGTATGCCAGTCCATTTATATACTACCTATTACGAAGTGTTTAATAAAGACGCCTTAGTCATGTTTGTTGTGTTTACTACCATCTATCCCACCTACAAAAAGTTGGATCATCATATTCATTCATCAGTGAATCCGTTCTGAAAGATGTGTTCCAACAAATTTGCCCAGTGTTACAAATGAGGTTATTGTGATGAAAATACACTTCCTGGGTGCAAGTATATGCACGACACGAAAATAGATTCCTAAATATACGTGCATGACGAGCGACAAGAATGGCGAAATCGATCGTGCTTCTAGGGAGATATTGTCGAATCATTCGTCTACAACTTACTGTGAAATATATATGCATAAGCTCTTCACATGAATCAGTTTTACTTCAGACACTCCGCCTGTAGTTGCTGCGATATGTTGCCAACTCAATGAAATAGGTAAATAGCTATCAGTGGATCACCATCAACCTCGTCAACAGAACTCATCAGACAATTTGGGAATCTCATTTCTTATGCAGTTGGATTTGAACTTGGTCTTACTGGAGGTAGATAGTCGTACTCGAGAAGGGGCAACGACCTAATCTTATAGGTCATTTGGTTCATGCGCATGTGCTTATGTACACTACTGTGTGTCGTCCTGTAACAGTCCCGCAGAACGTTGCACTGCCATCTGCGTTGCAGTCAACGCATTGCTGGGTGCATGCATGCACGGATCGGAGGGGGGGGGGGCTGTGTGCGTATGCGCTTGTACGCGAGAGTTTGGCTTAAGCTACACAAATCTACCCCACTCATGTGCAATTTCGAACTACTGATTGGGTCTGCAGTAGTGAAACGGAGAATACGACGTGGGCCATTTGAGAATCTAACTAGTTGGTATATCAGAAATCCTGATACCCCTGTATGTAAAGCATAACTTTGATGAACTCTTTGCATTTCAGAATAAACGTTGTTTTGTTAGTCTATTCTAACCTTAGTAAACTGCAAATAAAATAGTTTATTACTACTTGAATCTGTTCCGATGTGTTTATCTTCAGTTTCGCATGAATTGTTTTTTTAACTGTCGGTTGTAGCCGAACCTGCTAATCAACTGGCTTCGACGTTTGCTCCGACTGGCGTCCGTCAATTCGAACGGAGTGACGTGCACAGCATGCGGTGAGGAGAAGGCTGATTCGCCACGCACACTAGCTTTGCACATTCTGCGTGGCATGGTCGCTGACGCAAGCTTGCGTGCTCACATTCAGCTGATTCCGTCTGCGGATGACGATCCAAATCAGTCCACGTATTCTTTCGCGGTTGAAGCCATTTGCCAGGCTGTGCTACCGGGATTTATGTCCCCTGAATGGACGATATCTAATGCAGCATTACAGTTGCACAGTACGTTGCAATCTCTGGTGTTCAATCATTCATATCTGTTCTGTGTACTACTCTTCCACATGATTTCCTGGGACACTCACGAGAGCTTAGCTTAGCCTCTCCCATCTTTCGTCTCTCTAACCGTTGCTGCGTCATTTATAGTGTCAAAACCCGAATTGTTTATTGATATTTTATATTTTCTTGCGGTTCTGGTTTATTCCCAAGTTATCAAGCCATCGTAAGCAGCAGTTGTGAATTAATTGATGCGTCTATTCATTTTAGCCAACAAGGTTGCAACAGGTGCATAGTGCATTGTCACTTTCCAGTTTACACTTCCATTGCTCTGTATAACACGGATTTCATCAAATAAAAGTGTAGTGAATGCGGAGGAATGTGGATTTACAAATGGTGTTCATCGGAGATTGCTTTAGAAACCAACGAAGATTACCAAACTAATCAAGGTTTGTGGGAATAACCATTTTAGTGATCGACCCACGCCTTTCATAGAATTTCACGGATGCAAATTCTACGGAGTGGAACTATTCTCGTTTTGATCTTGAATGCTGGTTTGAAATCCATCAAACAGTGAATGAATAAGTCAACATAAATATAGCATTCATTTGCATAAAGACTAACAAAGTACTACCGCTCTGCCCACAGCACGCGAATCGTTTTGCACCAACTTACTTCCACGTGCTTATCAAAACTCCTTGCCCCGCCCTGTCTCAGGTGCACTGGTCCTCCGTTTGACTGGGTCCAATTCCGGTCGACCCGCTCCGTCCGCTTCTGTGGTGTTTGACGTGCACAAACCGCTGTTGGAAATGTGCGTGGATCGGTTGGAATGGGTGCAACGCAGTGGTCAGGATTCTGTCTGGACAACGACTCAGTTATTGCCACTTCTGACCCTCTTGGTTCGAATGGCTCCTTCATCCGGTGCGAAGTAAGCATGTGTGTTTGTGTTGAGTCATTGAATCAAGTTTGAATCTTATGGTTTTCCCGCTCAACTTGATCATGACATGTTTTGCAATAATGGAAGCTCAATATATCTGTTGGACTGTGTTCGAGCTCGTTACAAGGATTGGCGTTTTTTCATCGGCCAATAATTAGCAGATGAAGAGTATCACTTGTTATGTCATGTAATCATGCGATCAGTGGTCAAACACCACATTTGTTTACAACCAAGAGGATGATGTCTCATGAACAACCTTCCTCTCAAGTGTAGGCGTGGTAACTGTTGAATGAAGTGCTCATACTTGGGGTTATCTTATGCTGTTTATCACGAAGCCCGTTTCGTGTNGTCGCGATCCAACTTTCAATCGAAACAACGGCGGAACTGGGCGCACATTCAGAACAAAAATGATGGATCTCCTGGACCTCAGCTACCCCACTGGACACTCGCAAATCTATTACTTTTGATACCAAATACTACAAAGTGCGTAGATCTCTTTGAATTTCAGGTTATCAAGAGTCTGAGGAATGACCGCCAGAAGTGTCGGGTAGGGAAGTGTAGACAGATGGACAAGACTACGGTTATCGGCAGTAGTCACAAAATTTTTCGTTGAATAAGTAGTACGGGCC